AATTTAACGGGACTTACTCCCAAGTATGCATAAGATTACAGCCACAGTAGCTGCAAGTTGCTGAATGACAAATGGCACGGACGTGCACTTACTGCTGATTGGCAAGACCCAGGGATTCAGTTCACTGTTAGGAGGCATTATGGAGTAATAAGGAATCAGTTTCCTTTCTCCAATTTATTTATTTATTTAAAACATTTCTATGCCGCCCCCATCGCAACAAAGCCTCGGGGCGGCTCACAACATACATAAAAATACAATCAATAATTTAAAAACTGGTACCATCTTGGCTATATATTAAAATCTATAAATACAATAACAATAAATTAACAATTTAGCACCTTATCTCAACCTTATCTGTTTTTGAAGGGCCTGCAGCCAGAGACTTCATTTTTCCAAGGCCAGCTCACCTCTGTAGGAACCCTCAGTATTTGTTTCCAGACACAGCATCCTTTGTTAACTGCACCCAGGTTTGATGACCTCCACCAACAACACCCCTTTGCACAGTATACATCCACTCGGTTCCACTTCCATGGTAACTGCCCTTTTCTGTTTACCATTCTCAGGCACTTTTATAAATTGCACCAAACTGGCACAGCCAGGTGTGCATCCTTCTGTTTGCTGAAGCACAGAAAACCCGCAAACTGGGAAGAAGAGATATTTTACTATGGAACTGCAAAAATCATGGGTGTTGAATTCTGAAGATGAGATTATATCAGTACTGGGGGAAAAACATAGGCAGATGTGCAGAAGGAGTTCAGTATCTTTTTAAAAAGCTTATTAGAGGAAAACAATGGTGAAGACAATGTGGGCGGGCAAAATGTAAGGCAATTGTCCCAAACATTATTAGTGTTGGAGAACATCACAGTAAAATTGTTATCTCCTTTGTAAAGTAATCAATTTTGTAAGGTACAAACTTCAATACTTATCTTCCCCATACATGCATATTTGGGAATCCTGATTGTACCAAAGACCCAGAAGTCAAACAAGATGCTATGGAAAATCTACATGTTTCCAACCCAAATGTGCCATGATCACACAGAAATCAGGAGGTAAGCATCTGATTTTTACACCAAAGGTGTGTGAGTAGTGGGGCACTTAACCTTTCCACTGGCCTCAGCTTATTTCCCACCATCCTAGAGCTTATCTAAGCAAGTCTATTAAACTATTGGCTTAATCACAGAATTGAGATCCAAACACTACATGAGAAGTGGGGTTTTTTTTTTTTTGCCTGCTTTTCCACTACATAATCTCTAGGTGACACTGTTGCACAATACAGCTACACAAAAGGAAATCACACTGTCTTTTGTTTTCAATTAAATTGTAAAAATTGCTGAAAATGCTGGTTGGATGCAGAAGTGAAACTGGAAGGTCATTATGCCATACAAAGAATCCTTAAATAACCATGACAGGGGAATGACATGCACACAAAAAATGGCCTCAAAGAGAAAAGCTCCTTGATACTTTTCTTGTTAGCTGACTTCGGATAGCAAAAAGTGAACTTGGCTCAGAGAAAACTTCTTGGAGCAAACAGCTACAGGCAGTACTCATTGGGATGGTTTCTACTACCCCTATACCCTGTTTCCCACTAAAATTAGATGTCTAAACAAGGTCAAACCCGAGTGGAAGAGCACATATGTTGCATGCAAAAGATCCCAAATTCAATCAGTACCATTTCAAGGTTAGAAGATCAGGTAGCAAGTCTCAGACTTTCAACTGAGACCTGGAAGAGATGCTGACTCAGGGCTGGTCTGACCAACCTGGTATAAGGCTACAATCGGCTTTGTTCTCATCACAACCTCACTGTGTGTATATGAAGGGAGGGGGTGGTCTGGGTGATTCATAACTAGTCTAGTCATCTTTTCTCCATCTCTCATAATGTCAGAACCCAAGGCCATTCCATGAAGCTGATTGTTGGAAGATTCCAGACAGATCCATGGAAGTACTTCATCACACAGAGCATAGTTAAACTATGGAATTCCCCACTGCAGGATGTAGCGATGGTCCCCAATCAGAAGGCTTTAAAAGAGGATTCATGGAAGCAAAGCCTACTAGTACAGACAGCTATAAGCTACCTCCAGTACCATAGACAGCATCCCTATGTACACCTGTTGCGAGGGAGCCTGAGCGGGAGGGTGCTGCCCTCCTATATCGTTGCACCCCAATATATTGCTTGTGGGTTTCCTGTGGGCAGTTGCATGAACAGAGCGCTGGACCCTTGGTCTAATCCAGTATGGCTCTTTTCTTTTAAAGGACAGCTGCCTTAATCCTTGCTGCCTTTAGGATTAGAATTACATAGTAATAAATCGAAATCTGGCACATCATTTTTATACAACTCCAAAAAAGCAAAAACAACACACACACACACCCCTTGCACATATTGCCAATCCATTTAAACTTGAAGCACAAGCCTTGCATAGTCTTATTTTATGTGCTCTCCAAACATACAAGTCCCTGCCTTAAATCCTTGAACCGACCCTCACGATCGGTGCACGGGGAACAGAAAGGGAATTCCCTGCAGCAGATGAGCAAGGAAGGGCTGCCAGCCCTCTCAGGGGCACAGGCTGTGGGTCTCTGGGTGGCCACCAGGACTCAGCGTGTGCAGGGAGCTGGGGCATGTTCCCTGGGGTGGGATCTCCCATTTTTGCACTACCTTGTGACTAATGCAAAATCAGGAAATTCCATAATTAGATTCTTCCAGAAAAACTAAAATGAATACTTATTGTTTTCAGAATTAGCTACAGGGCTGGTGTCTGGGGATGTCTGCTGAGGGCCAACATCCCATCAGGGTCCTAGTGACACCCTAGTGACACCCTAGTGGAGCTGCTCCTCTTCTTCATCACTGCAAGTGGTTCCTTCACCTGACTCGTTCATGCCCAGACACAGGGTGATGGGGAAGAGGGGCGGGAGAGGCCGCTGCAGCTACCAGCACCCATGGCAAGAACAAGAAGAAGAAGGAAGAGCAGCTGGTGACAAGGTGATGAAGCTCACCAAGGGAGGGGGGCCATGGAAGGTGTCCCAGCCAAGGGCTCCCAAAAGCCTGAACCTGGCTACTGATGAACTACATTGACCTTTGCCTAAAGTTTGTGTTACTTTGATGCTTTCATGCTGCATATATACTGAACTAGGTCCTCTTTCAGCAATGAAGACAAGTCCTCAGCATCAATATTTGCTACAAATGCCTCCCTATTCTGTGTTTTCCCACCCCGTAGCCATTCATGAGCTCAGCTTGAAAGGCACAAAGTTCTCTTCTAAAACTAAATTAACTGCCTTCAATCTTGAATTCCTGTAGGACTTGCAGAGGCAGATGGACAAGGCTTTTATGTCCAAACAGCATCTTTTCAATATATAAAATAGGATTAAAGGGCAGAGTTGGAAACACTTATTCATTTATACAAATCAAATCAGAGGCAGGTCAAGAAGAAGTTAAGTTTCCAAGATTAACTGAGTCTTGTAGCACCGTAGAGACCTATGGATTTATTATGGCATAAACTTTCGTTGGCTAGAGTACACTTCATCAGTTGCATGAAATATTATCCGCCACTGGCAGCCAAGCATACAGACACTTCAGTATATGAAAAGAAAATGCTAAACAGTGGGGTCAAATGGCCATGGAAGCATCCTATAAAGTAGATTATAGTCCACAAAAAGTTAGACCAGCAGGGCATTGTGGTTAGAGTGCTGGACTGGAAAGCGCGAGACCAGGGCTCTAGCCCCACTTGGCCATGAAATGCACTGGGTGACTTTGGACCAGTCACTGTCTCTTAACCTAACCTACCTCACAGGGTTATTGTTTTGAAGAAAGAATGGAGAGGAGTAGACCCACAGAAGCTGCCTTGGATCTCTCTTGAGGCAAAAAGGGCCAGCTAGAAATCTAGCATATTAACTTGATAATATGTCACAGAAAAACTTGTTAGTCTTGAAAGGTTTTTATTTACAAGACTTTTTATTGCTTTTAGTGCAACAGATTAACATGGCTACCCTCTGGAAATTGCTCATCGGTAGAAACCCTGCTCTTAAATGATTGAAAGTGCTTAGAAGGAAAGTACCGAAATCAGAGCAAACAAACCTTTGTGCAACACAGTTGAAAATGCAAGCTGCAAAAACCAAGGATGAATTTGTGGCCCAATAGGCAAAGTTTAGCATGACAGTGGTAAAACAGAATCGGCTCACTCTAACGCCTTCTAATATCAGGCGTTTATGAAATCTTTCCAATCTGCAAAATCTTTTCAGTCTACCAAAAAAAAAAAAAAAAAGGAAAGAATGCCCTTTACGGAGCAGGTATATGCTTAGATGCTGTCTTTTTTGTGAAAGTAAACTACTCCAGTCAAGTCCGTCTCTTAGGTGTGCACACATGGAGCCGCATGCAGCCAGTTTCAAGTGGAAAGCTGCACTCCCCGGAGTCATCTCTGTGCATGCCCTTAAGCTGCGCTGTGTGAACAGCCCTGACTGTGTGGGTAATTTTCTAAAGCATTAAAATCATTAATATGTTGCCTCACATCAGGCTGCAAGATCGCTACCACCAGCACTGTATGACAGAGTTAGCAACCTGTCTATATTTAGCATGCTCTTTTACTACTCACACTGTTCTCTGTCCTTTCAATGAAAAAATCAGCTTGATAGTAACAAGGAAAAGACAAATTGTGCACAGCTATGTCTAAACCCCCCATAAATCATATAACCTAGAGAGACCGGGACGTGGGAGAGGGATCTTAAGGGGGGTTCAGCGAAGGAGCCCATAGTTTCCAAGGTTACAAAGTCACGTTAATTACATGCAAGAGAACACACACATCCACACAGCTGCCTAAAACAAAAGCGCAGAAGCCACAGCAGAAAACTGAAGTGGATTGTAAAAGACTTCTGTTAAGGAGGGCATTGTGTTTGTAAAACACCCCACCCCTAGAAAAACACATTTGCGGGATCAAGTTTTGTTCCCGCTGCCCCAAAAAGCAGCTAAGATGAAATAAAGAGAAACGGGAGGTAAAGATTTGAATCTCACTCACCAAAATCTGACTGCAAATCCTTTTTCAGCCCACAAAGCATGTCTGCTATTCTCTATCAAAGCATTCAGCTAGATTGCAAGAGGCGCTCCTCTCTCTCTCTTGCCTTGGCTGGCACTGGAGTCACATTACAGCAGGCTCGCTCTCAGGCCGGCTCCCACAAGAGAGCAGGGTTACGCCGCTCGAGGGATGTGCAGCTCCACTTAAAGGGAACAAAGTCCGGTGGAGTCCACCGGGTTGGCACCCAGCAAAGGTCTCATGCCCTTAAACGCCTGCTCTGCAGGGTCCGAATGCTGCCAGCGAAAGAATTAGAAGCAGGAGGCAAGCATTGCGAAAGGAAAAGAAATCCAGATCTGTCCCACTGCTTTGCCTTGAGGCAGAAGCCCAGAGCCAGTTCTAAATGTAGACGTTAAAAAAAGAAGCCGGCTGAAGAAGAAGCGGCGGGAGCGGAACTGAATGCAGGCAGAGGGGCCTGTGGAGCGAAAGCAGCCCGGACACTTCACTGCCAGCTGCGACCACACTGGGAGGGAGCCGCCGGTCTGGGTGGCGCCCTCATCCTTGCAATGCAGCCTTTTGTCGCCCGTGCCCAGGAAATTCCTCGCAATCCCCAGAAGGTTGAAGCGACTATCTCTTGGCACAGAGCCACGCAACACGAGCTCCGCTCCTGTGCGCAGACCTGCAGCACAAGTTGGGAAGTGGGGAAGGCTTTCAGCTCGAAAGACAAATCGCCCAAGTTGCAGGCAGCATCATTTGGAAGTGCGAGAGAGGAAGCCCGCCGGGGCTGCAGAGCGCCACACTCCCCGCGCTCCCCCCAGCCTTTGGTCAACTGCCTGCGCGGCCTGCAGCACCTGCCAAGGCGATGTCAGGCTGCCGAAGAGGCACCGTGCCCCTTTCTCGGCACACGCGCCGAGGTGGGGCACACACGAGCAGGAAGCGGCAGGGCCAGAGCCTGCTCAGAGCACTGGCTGCTCTCTCAATTTAACCCCGCTTTGGAGGGCAGACCAGCCAGCGCCACGCGCAGTCACACCGCCTGGCTAACCCTCTCTGATGCAAGAGGTTTTCTTTTCGTACTTCGAATCAGAAAAGCACCAGCATGCTCAATTTATACATTCAGTGCCAAGCAGGAACAATTGTGCTTTATCGGTCAATAGCTATGCTAGAAGCTGACTGTGGAGTTGGATGCAGGGGTACTTTTCCTGGCTTGGGAGCAGCAACCGGTTCAGCAACACAGAGGCAGGCCTGCTGATTTGGTTTGTGGAACTAAAAGCAACACTACTGTGAGCCATTTCCAGCCAATGAGTGCCAGAGAGTTGCAAACTCTTTTGTCTGATGTGCCTTCACAGTCCAGGCTGGGGGAACACTTTGCATTGTTCCCTTAAATCACACCCTTTGCCTTCCCTTCTGAAACTTAATGGTCATGCAGAAGAAAATAAAAGAAAGTGCATTCTTACAGCTTCTCCTCACACTTAAAAAGGGGCTCATCAATTCCTGTCCACTGGAATTCCTGTTTGACCCATAGGGCATCCATAAAGAAGTAAACCGAAAGCAACTGTTTTGCTCTTCTTTGGCAATGTCTGACTTCCAGCTCCCTTAACAGTGCCAACAACAGTAGCACCAATCTTTATGCTCTGCAATCTTTATGTTCATGCTGCTGGAGTGAAGAGAAGCCAGTCTTGAGGCATGCATTGGCCACAAGCAGGCAAGACGAATAAGGAAAGGACTGGACAATGTCCAAGGAACCCACACTGAAGGCAGGCCAGCCTTTATGACCTTTCCATACTTCATCACACAGTAATCAAGAACTTCTTACGTCCTGTTGATTTCACAAGAAAGCTATGCGTGTGCTTAGAGTCTCTGCCACAGGAGCCCAAGGGGAGCGACATGGCTTGAGTGGAGCTAGACTGTGCTTATCTGAGGAACCCATTTCATCTCCCTTAAAGTGGCTCTGTGGGAGAAGGGTTGGCAAGCACAGCTTAGCAGGTGGGTGAAGCTACCCATCCCAGTTATTATCAGGAAATCAGGGACGATCCAGAGCGACGGGCTTGTCCTTCACTATTTGATACTTCCTCCGGAATTGCAAGCCTGAGTTTTTAAATGACACTGAATTTTCATAATTGCACCACTTATGTGCCTATATGCATGCTAATGAATTAGATGCAGTGAGCCAAAAATAGAATGGGGGAAGAAACCTTGAAATGGGATCATGAAATAGGCTTGGTTACATGACTGGGAAGTAACTGGATTTAGCTTCATCTTTTGAAAAGTTAGTGAAGTAGCCACAGGAAAAAGTTCCATGTATCCAGTGGCTACCACCCATCCTCTATTTAAAGAAAAACATTTGATAGAGAATTTTAAAAATGGACATCAAATGGGGCAGTGTAAGTTTTTTGTCCTGAGAGGATATGCTCATGCTCACTGTTTAATAATCAAAGCAGCAGAGGCGAAGACTGTACTCTCCTGCACAATACTTGGGTGACAACCACAAAATATTTGCCAGCCCTAATGCATAAAGCAACTTCTCCCAACCCGGAGCCTTCTAGATGTACCTGGCTACAATAGTCATACTCTCCAACCTGCATGCCCCTTAGCCCTAGCAGCTAGGGGATGATGGGAGCTGCATTCCAACACTTCTGGAGGCATCAGGTTGGGGAAAGCTGGCAGAAAGTAAAGAAAAAGAAGCTTAAACAGATAGTGGATATTAACCATGGTACTATAATTTAATTCTACCTTGAGACAAAGTCACTTGCTCTGGGTTCAAGTGCCTTGAGCAGAAAAGCTAAAATTAGCAAAAAAAAAAAAAAAAAAAAAACCATTCCAAAGCATACACACAATAATTTTATTCTGTAATTTGTTATTAAGGGAAAAACACCACAGTTGTCTTTTGATAGTCATAATTAGCAGCAGAATTGAGTTTGCAATTAGAATCCCTTCACACTGCACAGCATTCTCCGAGAACAATCATTGTGTGAGCTTTGGAAATTTTTCAGAAAATGAATAGATTTGGAAACTGCTAATTTGGTCTGGGAAACCATACTAGTTACAAATTACAATGACACTGATTGTATCATTAGTGGAGTCCTTTTTCATCCTGTTCCCTGCTCTAAGAATCCTAATATATGCATTGAGGGATCAGAATGCACACCATCATAATAACTTGAGGCAGATTATTTTTTTTTTAAAGTAGATAAAGATATCTTCATGAAAATACACCTGAACCTACAGAAACGTCTTTAAAATAAAATAGCCGGGAGTGCAGCAACCTACATGAACAGGGAGAAGGCAATTATCCTGACTTGATAGCCCGTATAGTCTTGGTGAAGCAGGAGGATTCTTGACTTCTCTTCTCATATTAATTAACAAACACTGGTTATCAATAGAGGATGGCAATTTATGCAAAATTGCACAGGAAAGGCATAGCTGACCCAGGCAGACAGAGAACATGAGTGCTTCGTAGATAAATCATATCCTGCAAATATGTACTTTTCTGACTCACCAAGCTTTTCTCTACCTGCATTCATACTGACATTGTATTTCTGAGGTGGCTCAGAAGGAGGTGGCTTCTTTCTGCTGCTCTTTTCCTTTGCTTCCAGCCCCCCTGCATCCACCTTAATCCCACAGTGTATTTTAGCATGCATGGTACTTGGGCCACCAGCATTATATAGGGCTCCATGAAGTACCCCAGAATTTTTCCTCGTAAGGCATAATGCTAATTGTACATGGATCATTAAGAAAACCTGCACTTGAAGGGGTCAATCATATTTTGAAGGCACCCAGTACTGTTGAAAGAGCCAGGCTGGTACCTGGTCCAGGAAATCTATTTGTACAAGGACCACCAGGTGTCTTCTGAGAACAGATAGCAACAGCACTCACCTGTAATGATCTCCAGAAACTGGCTTTGAAAGACATACTGCCTCTGACTTCAGAAGTTGCAAGTAGCCATCACAACTAGTAGCCACTGCTAGCCGTATCCTCTATGAATTCATAAACACTCTTTAAAATCATCCAAGTTGGTTGCCAATCACTACTTCCTATGGAACTGAATTCCATAGCTTAACTATGCACTGTGTTTAGAAGTACCTTCTTATCCCTCCTGAATCTCCAGCCACTTCACTTCATGACCTTGGACTCCACTATCATAAATTCCACTACACATCACATTATATTCTGTATCATGGTACCCCTTACTCCCTTTTTTCTAAGCTAAAATGCTCCAAATATAGTGGCTGTTGCCTCTTGAGCTTTTTTTATTTGCCATACGCTGCTGCAAATTAAGCCAGATTATGACTTAAAGATTTTGCTGCCATATTAGTCTCATCAGGGGGCAACTCCAGAAGAGAACAGGATGCCCAGAACTTCCCCACCATTGGCTATGGAAGGAATGACTGCTGGTGTTTATTTTCTGTTGGTGTTTATTTCCTTCCCTAGCACTCAACAGCACGCAGAGACATGAATGGTCTTTGGCTTCACAGCCATCTTTTATTTGAGCAACTTGTTTCAAGTCACAGGCATCTGAGCTCCAGAAAAATTTAGCAATTGTGTTCAGAGCTATTAAGGACTACAGAAGAGTTCGATATTTTATCACAAAGAGTCAATTGGAAAATGACCATCCTTAGTAAGGACATGCAAATCCCTCCTACAACCATCCACAGCCACAGTTATGCAGTGTGTGGGACTACATATCCCAGGTTCTAACTACCAGACATCTCCATGTGTGCACTGGGAGTTCAAAGTCCAACTGAAGGCCTTGTTCTACTCCAGAAGACAAATCTGGAATGGAAGGTGGGTGGGCTTCCGAGTGTTACCTCTGGCAGAATGGAAGAGTTGTGATCACAAGATTAGGAATGCTTATACACACACAACCCTCTAGTGTAGCTGAAATAGGTGGGTTTATTACAACTGTACAAATTCATCCAAAGAAAAATATTTCCTTCAAGATGGAGCTCTCAAAATGCAGAGCCACAGTCTTTCTCTAGGTTTCCTTCCACAAAGACAGAATTCTACTAGGCATCTTTAAAAGCTAATTCATCATCAATAATCGGCACTGCAAGATAAATGGACCTTTCCCACAAGCAATTATAGCTCTTACTTCAGAGATAGACGCTGCTAAAGCACAGAAAGTGGGAAGAATATCCTTGTGGCATTTCTGTCTAGAGCCTCCCTCATTAACATTCTGTCTTCCTCAAAACTGGAATTCAATGAGAATTACCATACATGTTTGGCTACACAATATTTCAGCAAACAACCACATCCATCTTTGGCCTCAAGTAACAGCAGCATTGCCAGTG